TCGAATAAAGCCTCTCTCATTTTCTGCTAAGAACCTGTGAAAACTTTGGAATGCAGTCTATATTTCTAAAACTGCAGTCTCCCCTCTGCAGTGGTTTGTGAACTGTGTCCATAATTGCTGTGCCATCAGCAGGTTGCACAATCTCCTCTTCCTCCCGGTGTGTAGGTTGGGAGGAGCAGGGGCTGGGATGAAGGGGCAAGTTTCATGTAATGCATCTCACATGAACCAAGGGGCTGGGCCAGGTGGAGTGCAGGTGTCAAGAGAGCTGTGTGAAATCTAGAAGGAAGGGACAGGACAGAAAAATACAGGGAATAAGCACACCAGACTGGTGGTTCTGGTTCAGGCCTGGTGCTCACTTGTGTTACTCACCTTGGTAAGACATCTGACGGTTAATTTTGTACAGAGGTTTAAACACATCAAAATTTTGCTCCCATGGGTGCCCTGTCACTGTATTAGCAGCTGTTTGTAAACCGCATTTCAACCTTCTGCTTTGTGTTTTTGACCTGAAAAAGTTGCTCTCATTCTGATCTTCATAGTTGGAGATCACATCCCACACAAAACTTACGATGTGCAAAACGAAAACTTGGTGGTTTTTTCCTAAATTTCTTCTCATGACTGTTATTCAACATATGCATCCAAGTGAGATGTTTATCCAGTTTGGGATTATGCACAGCACAGCACGGATTCCGTACGGCACTTGCAGAGTGTCTGTTCCCAGACAGTGTAACCACAGTGGCTGTTCCTTGCAGCAGTGTATTTTGTGTACTTCCACAGAAGATGCCACTGTGGTACTGGATGTATTTTATCAGAAAATAAATGTTGATTTGGTGGTTGGATTTTCCTAAGGCTTACAGAAAGAAGAAATGATCCAAGTTATTTTTCCTCCTCCGAGGTTTGTTTTACTTCTTTTTAAAGGAGTAAAGACTAGTATTAGACTTCTATAATATGCAGCCATTAATTTGTTGTTCAGAGGAGTTGTTCTAACGATTTACAAAGTGGCTATTGTCAGGACCTATATAAAGCTCTCTAGCAATGAGGCAGCAATTGATAACTTGGCATAATTGAAGAGGGCAAAAAGGCAGTTTCACTCAGAGGCTGAATTAATTAGTGAATGGCAGAAGCAGATGTTAATGAACAGCATATGCATGCTTCAAGGTAGGAGACAAGGGACCATCATAAAGGCTCTCATCCCTAAAATGAGGGTTGTGTTGTTTCAGGAGTGGATGTCAGTATGAACACGCATCTCAAAGCAGTGAAAATGACCCTGAAGAACAGAGAACCTGTACAGCTGGAGACGCTGAGTATTCGTGGGAATAACATCCGATACTTCATTCTGCCAGACAGTTTGCCTCTGGATACTTTGCTGGTGGATGTTGAGCCAAAAGTCAAATCCAAGAAAAGAGAAGCAGGTTAGTTTATGCTTTCCCAGTCTGTGTCTGTTCTGCTTTTATATGCATTTTAGTCCCCTGAATCTGAAGACATCAGATTTGAGTGTCTTAATGTCTGTGTTTGGCATCTGGTTCCTTCCTCTTTGAGGGTTTGATACTGCAGTGGCTCAGTCTGCCCTGCCCACCTTCTTGGCATCTGCAGAGCATATTGGTCATGTGAAATTATGTGTATGGCTTTTTACCCATCTGTTTTTAAAAATGCAAATGTTTTTCAGCTGAGTAAGCCTTAACCTATCTCAGGGTCACAGTTGGCACCAGAGATTTACACTTCCTCTTCTCTTGAGTGTCTGCTGTGTCTCCGCAGTTTGTATGGGGAGCTTCACATAGCCTAACAACAAAGTACAGAACAGTGTCTCAACAGTGCTGAATGGTTCACTGAAATTTCACTTAGTGGTGGGTAGAAATAATCTGTCTCAGAGAACTGAGTTGGAGAGACTGGAGAATCTGAGGGAGTCTAGCCTGTATTCCAGTGAACAGATCTCTAGCTTTGGCTTCCAGTAGTGTTCCACTCTGTGCTCTTCCTGGAGCTTCTGTTTCAAAAGGCTGTTGAGCAAAAGCTATGCTTAGAAGCTGAACAGTACAGAGAGTAATTCAGGAGTAATCCACACTATGAAAGATGAATATCCAGTAAGCCCCAAAAAATGTGTGGCAGTATATATTTTGCCCAGTGGTTAATCTGTGTGGTTTTTAAAATAGGAAGCTGTAAGCAAAAGCTAATTGTGCTCTAAAACGATGTTGCACCATTTCTCCTGTAATTAGTGTTTAAGTATTTGGGTGTGCATCACCAAGTGCAGGAGGCACCAAGGCTGCTGTCATTACAGAGGATAAGGATAAAGCTCCTCAGGGGATTTTGTTCCTCTCGTGTCCCTTAAAAGCAATCATGGAGAAATGAGGTTGGATTGCTCTTTTCCTGAACATCACGATGTGATGTGAACAAGAGCATCCATGCTTCCTGTTAACTTTGAGGGAAGCAGCTGTGATAGCCCCAGTTAACTGCATTTGGTGCTCCTTGCATCTTTAGCACCTGGAAGCATGCTGACCACAGCTGTGTTGTGCTGTGCTTTGCCTTAATCCATAAATGCCCTTGGGCTGCAAAAGCACATTACACATGGTCAGTCCTTTGGCAGGTGAAATTGTCAGGGAAGGCAGGATGGTGGCTGAGGTGTGTGTGCGCGTGCCTTGAGTCCACTGATGCACGTGCTGTTGTCGTTTAGTCAGGTGTCGATGCTTCTGTGGATTTTAGAGAGTCTGACTATCACCCGTAAAAAAATGACACCTTGCTTCTGTCACATTGTCCTGTGTCTCTGCTGCATTTCTAATGCCAATACCAGAATAATTGTCACAGCCTGCACCTTGAATGTGGGTGCTAGTGTGTCTCGTACCCAGCCACCCACTTCCACAGAAGTTTTAGTACCTTTCTGAGCCCTGCACTCACAATGTGTTTGAAATGAACCAGTAATTCCTAAAGTTTATATGGCAGTCTTGCAGCCTGGTGGGGTCATGTTTCTTTAGGAGAAAGGGATGCAATGGCATGTTATCACCATATAGATCATATGACCTTCAGCTATTGCTTGTGGCCTGAATGATCCTGTGATTCTGTCTTCCCTTTACCATTAAATAGCAGGAATTAAAATTGGGAGCACATCCAAGACCTTGGGCAGAGGCACCATTGGAAACAGTAGGAGCTGTTGGGTGGTGGGATCCTTTCAAAATGGTGCCTGAGAACGGGTGAGCTTGGCAATCTCACACTGCGATAAAATCTGTATTTCCCTCTAAAAAGTATATGAAAAAAGAGGAATCCTAGTTCCCTGTCAGACTTACCCTAGCACTTGGGAGTAGCCAGCTGTTATATCCTCTTGTTTTCTGCAGTGAAGCCAAGGACAGACAGTAACCTGTGGAGGTTGTGTACCAAGAAACCTAACACAAAAGACAGAAGTACTGCCTGGAACTTACTGAGCATTGTAACAGACTCAATGACTGCATTAGTGTCTCCTCACAGGGAAGCAGTATGGTGTTTATGCTTGATACAGAATGTTTTAATCAAAATGAAAGTATCCCTAGGTCTCACTTGATTTATCCTTTTTCTTTTACCTGCTAAGTTGCTGGAAGAGGCCGCGGCAGAGGCCGTGGCAGAGGCCGAGGCCGTGGAAGAGGAAGAGGAGGCCCAAGACGATAACTTCTCATCGCGCAACTGTTACAAATTCTGGGCAATTTCGGATTTTTTTTGTACAGGTCTTGTTTATGGTATCCATTTTTAATAAACTGAAATGTGACAAGGTTGTCTTTCCTCTGTTAGCGAAGTCTGGGGAGGGAGGCCAGTGTGTCCTGTATCTAGTGGCTGTTGCAGACTAAGCAGGACTGGGTGGAGTTGGTTGTCAAGATTTTGCCCCCCCAAAGGCTGTACAACTGCCTCTTGGGTTTTGCTCCAGAACGAGAGACTTGTGCTTTTGTGCTTTAACAGTGTTTGAAATTAATCCCTCTTTTATAACAGGCACTTGCCGTCTTCTAATGGTTACATAGTTAAGACACTGTATTAAGAACCCACGTCCCATGAGTGTCTCTAATGTTGTTCTTCAGAGTGACCTTTTAAAGTTCATAGGTATAATTTTAATGTTTTCTATTACATGAAGCTTACAATTTAAACGTTGCTTTCTTTATAAAACATTCACGTAGAGAAATTAACCAGGTCCATGGAACTGCTGGATTGTTACATCTGATGATTAAAGAATACCTGGATATGAACTTTGTCAAAGCTAATTATATGGCATACTCTTGTTTGGGTGGGGCTCATAAAGCAGCTGTATCACAAATAGCTTCTAGTGTACTTAAAGTGCATCCCTAGAAAATACAAAGTACAGCACAGTGCACAGTTACGTACTGGAATTGGAAGCTTACTTCTTCTGGAGGTGAGAGAACTTGTACAGCTCATATCTATGTGTGCATATAGACGTATATAAACTGCTTTTCTGGACATAAGTATGAAATAAGCAATGTTGGCTACATTTATCTCCCAATACCATCCTACTGGTTTCTCCCATTTAGGAAAGGGATTATCACATTCTCATTGCCAGACTTCAGCAGTTTCATCTATTGGTGAAATACAGATGTCATTTCCAATATCCTTCGTGCTCAAGTGTGGCTGTCTTGAAGGCTTAAGGGTATTTGCTGGTACTTTGGTGCAGGAACATGCTTAGTTGGTTTCTCATGTTTCCACACAGGCAGTGCTACAACAGAGTGGAAAAGAATTACCTAACGTTGTGCAATGGGCTGATACGCTGGTTAATTTGTGCTAGCTAGCATTTTGTGAGCTGCTCTTCTGCTTTCCCCCTCTCTTAGAGAGGCCATTTTAAAGCTTCATCTTGTTACAGAGGAGCTTTTTGTTTTTTTCCCCAAACCATTGTGGAACCTCCCAAGAGCACTTTTTGGTCAATATAGCACCCACCAGTCTCAACTCTATAAATAGCTGCTACAAATAATGGTTGCTGCTGTCTTCCAGAAGTGCCCAGTCACTGATGACGGGGGTAAGGTCTTCCCAAATCCAGCTGTCAGCGTTCATGCAACAGTTGAAACTTTTTCCCTCTTCAGTCTCTTCCTTATAAAAGTCACTAGTGCCCCCAGGGGTATGCACATGGTGGATGCTGCCACCAGCAGCCCGATCACGGCGAGGGCATAGCCTGGGTAGTCCTTTGTCACCAGCTGCCCCTGCAAGGGAGAGAAATACTGTTGTATCTGTGGTTTTAAGTGTCCTGGAGTCAGGTCAGGAGCAAAGCTGTACATATGTATCTAAACGGGGGGTGTGAGGAGCAGTGAGTTACAGGCTGGAGCAACCCACGACTGCCCTTGGTGCTGTTCTTTGTCCAGACATAGGCACTGAAAATTAACAAAAACAGAGCTGCTGACAAGAAGATTGAGGAAAACTTCTGCAAGCTTTGGTAAAGAGCAGGTTTTGGCTTGATTGGTGTTCCTTAATGAGATGTCTGGGCCCTGACCTCTGTCAGGCCTCTGTGTTCCTCTCCTGGAGCCTGTGGGCTCATGCTGACACACAGTCAACAGGCCAGACCTGCCCTGGGTCCCAAATTGGCCATGGCATGGAAACAATTATGTACTTTGTTCTGTGTGATGGGAACAATTCTACAAAAGGTTATGAAATCAGTGCCAGTAGTAATTCCTCTGTGGTAAATACGCAGTTCAGTATTTATGCAAAAGTGGTCTGGCATAAAGAAATATCTGTATGGAAATTACAAAAACCATTCCAGCAGCAGCTTAGTTCTGTTAAAATACCACTGATTTTGTTCAAAGTAATACACTTTTAGAGTATTTTTTAAAAGTGTGTTTTTAAAGATACAGGGTCTTAATCATGAATAAAATTTTACCATATGAAGAGGGGTTAATTAAGATCATAGAGGGAAAATAGCTGATTTTACAGAAACATTGCAGCATCACTAGGTCGAGTTTTCCCCGCTTTTCCTTTCCATGAAATCAAGGGATGGCCCTGACTCCAGCTGCTTGCTTTCAGAAGGCAGTTTTGTGGAACAGTGTAGTTAGGAAGGAAGGCTGTATGCTTGCAGGAAGTAAGGAAAGTTTAAAAACCACGAAAACCCCCAACCAAAATTATTTTACCTGTGTGGCATCCCATGCTTGGTATTGCAACGTTCCTGTAAGGATGTAGTCGGTGATGTAAAATATAAATAGGCTTATAATTAGCAGAGGACTGACAAAAGCCCACATAATTTTCCAATACCAGTTTGGCTTGCGTCCAATCATGGTGTAAAGATCTTTCTCAAATCTGTGTTTAAAAAAATAAACACACGTATTTTTTAAGAACAGCTGCACATGTTTAATCAATACCTTGTTTTGAGTTACTTCAAAAAGCACAGAATCATAGAATGTTAAGGGGTTGGAATGGACCTTAAAGAGAATCCAGTCTCAGCCTGCCCTGCCATGGGCAGGGACACCTCCCCACTAGACCAGGTTGCTCATCACCTTGCTGATACTACAGCACAGGAGAAACATTTAGCCCGTGGGGGTATTTTTATTCTTGGTCCTGCATGACTTTGCCTGCAGCTACTCCCCCAGCTATCCCACTGCAAAAAAAAGGAGGGTTCAAGCTTTTACCTTCTTATCCCGTAGATGTAACACACAGCAATGGTTTCTACCAGCACAATGAGCAGCAATGAGAGGGTGGCTGCATAGTCATTGAATATGTCAAACCAATAATTTCCAGCCTCCATGGTGAAGATTAGGCCAATCACACAGTTAATGAAACACACAACACCTGCATGGACAAAATGGGGACTCTGCTGTGACACCTGAAACTTTAATTTTGGGGGGGGAAATGTCATACTTCTTGTGACTAAATGGCTGGTGGGATTTTTGCTGAGCAAAAGACTCTGAAGAGAAGGATAATTTTTTTTTCCCCTTGGAGAAGACTTGTCTCTGTGCATGTGTGACTGTGCTGGTGTGTCCTTATGCTGCTCCTTAGACCTGCATAGTCACGGCACATCACCCCAGAAATGGTCAAAACACCAAGTCTTGGCTGTAGCCTTGTCACATGTGCATGCAGCATCTGCTGTGGCTGATGGGCATCTAGCTAAAACAGGTTTTAAGGTGGGACAAATGATTTCCATGCCCAAACAGGAGCACATGCTACTTTTGGTCAAAGACTGCAGTGGCTCACAGTAGGTATTGTGATGCTGTGACTGAAGAGCCACTCGCTGCAAGTATCCTGACATTTGTCCTGGCCCTTTTAGTGTCACTGGCCAGTAGACACCAGTGTGAAGGAGCTGGGGTGCGTTGGAAAGCCTGTAAAATAAAGAGCCATCATTCCCTAGTGCTTTGGGATCTCCTGAGGGAAAGTGCTGTACAGGCTGGGCAGGATTTCACAAGGGCAGGGAAACCCTTCCAGCAGCATATTTGATATTCCCTGCTCCACCCGAGGGCAGAGAGGGTCTCCCAAAGGCATTGGGATACTGAAGCTGTTACACACACACACACACACACACACACACACACGGTGGGCACTTACCCGAGATCACCTCCTTGGGGAAACGGGCAGCAATGACTCTGCTGTCGGTCAGTGGTGTGAGGATAGCAGCAGTGTTTCCCAGCATGCTGCCAATGCCCAGCATCAGCAGCATGAAGAAGTAGAGCACAGAGTACAGCTGGGGCACCTCCATGTTTTTGATAGCTTCAGAATAGACTATAAATGCCAGTCCTGTTCCCTGGACAGCCTACCAGAGAGAAGTGAGGGAAGAGTGAGTTACAGGCAGCTCCTCAGCTCAATAAAGGACACAAGATGGACATAAGAGAGTGACTCTGTGTCATGACAAAATACACCTATGGTGGAGGCTTTGCAAGTAAAGGCAGATGAGATTTTCAGCAGTTTATTCAAGCTGCACAGAAACTGGTCTAGTGTCACTTGTAGCAAAAAAAGGATTTGGTCTAAACCTTTGTGACCTGTTCCACAGCCAGAGCCAGCAGTGCAACTGCACTGCTCCCCAGCTCAGTTGCTAATAACCCAAATGAGATCCTTGCCCCATCCTGAGATGCAGGCATGATCTCCAGCCCTTGGTCAGGTATCTCCTCACATGGGGCTAAGGGGCTGCCTGTGGTCAGTGGGAGGAAACAAGACAGCACAAAGTGGAGACTCACCGTGTCCAGCTCAGCTTCTAAACTGCAGTTTTTAATCTGTGGTGCTAACTGGGCATATTCCTGCGGGTAAGTGGCCATGAGGTACTCTTTCATCTCATTGAGGTTGTCTGCTGTTAAAGAGCCTTCTTCCAGGTCAAATGCATTCAGCAGCAGCAGGATCACCCTGGGAAAGGTTACAGCAAAGTAATGGCTTTCAGGCCCAGGACACTTCATCCCCTTCTCCATCGGCCCCCATGTGGGGGTGCCCTGCTGGCCCCAGGGCTACAGCCTCCCTGGGTGAGAGAGCTGCAGCACTTCCAGCATAGTGTTGGGACACAGGCAACCTCACATGCATCTGTGCTTTGGAGGGAGCAGCTCCTGTGCCCACACTGCTGCTCCCAGGCAGGTATTTTGGGTGCTGGCCAGTGCAAAAAATTTCCCTTTGCCCTTCGATCTCACATCCACACCCCACCAACTTAACGAGCCTTTTGTCAATGAGCACAGACTAGCAGCTTGGTTTCCTCTTTGATCAGCAGATAGACTGAAAGCTGTAAAAATACGAGTAAAAGTGTAACTGCCACGGGTGCTGTGCCAGGGACTGCATCAAACTTGCTTTGGGACACAATCCTGCAGTCTGCTGGGCACCTCCAGACCATCACAGCCGAGGAGACTGAGCTCCTGGCTCAGCGCTTAGTCTTAAATGGGGAGATCTGAGCATCAATGCATTTAATTAATCAGCCCCCACCCCACCTCCCCGGAGCACATGCCAGGACCTGACCACGGGGAACAGTGACTCTGTGACTTGCCCAGGCAAACTCATCCTCTTGACCAGGCCTGTGCCTGGAAGCAGCACCCAGGTGCCAAAAGGCAAGTCGCTCTGACCTTTCATCTCAGGCTTCATCGCTTCAAATAGCTCCATTAGGTTTATTAGAGCAGCAACAGCTCTGCTCTTGGGGCTGTGCTGGCCCCAGTGCTGGCAGTGCTGCGTGCTGTTATTTATTTACCTCCCCTCTCACCTGCCCCAGAATGGCTCACACTGAAACACCAGGCTCTTACTTGTTTATACAGCTCTCGTAGTTAAAGGTCGCCTTGAAGCCATAGATGGAGAAAGTGACGATGCTGGCAAATATGGAGGTGGTGCTGTTGATCAGCGAGACAATGATTGCATGCCTCTCACAGTTGTTGCTGGACTCGTTGTAGCTGGCAAAGGCAATGAGGCTGCCAAAGCCTAGGCCCAGGGAGAAGAAGATCTGCGTGGCAGCACTGATCCATGTCTTGGGGTTTGAGAGTTGCTCCAGCTGCAAAGCCAGATGCAAGAGCATGAAGCTACATACGGATTCCTAGCACTGCCCCTTCAGCCAGCAAGGATGGGGACAGCGACAGGGATGGGTCTCTTTGTGCACCTGTTTTAGTTCAGAGGTGTTTTGGGGCAGGGTTGCTGCTCCATCTAAAAGCAACATGCTATAGGTTATGCTAATGGGTAGGTCTTTTTCTGCAGGAGAAAACAAGCAGCTTATGGTCACTGTGGCAGAACAGCCTCCAGCCACTCCTAGAAGGGGTTTCCAACTGCCTGACCTACACTACTGCTGCAAAAATACAATATAAGGAAAAGGAGCATCACCACTTTTCAAAAACCTACACATTCAGTACCTAATAACATTTCATGAACAATTCAATACAGGTTTTCTGTACCTTTGGTGTGAACATGTAGATGAGCCCATTCACAGCACCATGAAGTGTTAATCCTCTGATGAGGTATATGATGAGAACACAGTATGGCAAAGAGGCTGTTATATAGACAACCTGAGGAAGGAAGGGAAATACCATGGTCTAAAGAATACAGAAGGCAAAGCTAATCCGCTATGATCAGTCTCAGTTACTTTACATAAACAATTTCCATTATTGTGTTTTTTATCATGTATTAATAGTTTAAAATTATTTTCAGAAAACTCTAACTTTAGATTTATGCTTTAGGAAACAAGTTTATAAATTATAAAGACCTGTGCTACTGTTCCCAGGGTCTTCTCTTTGACTGGAAAAATAAGAACAAAATCTAAAATATCTGCAGCATTTACAAACTCAGTTCTGCAGCTTTTAGTAGAGTAACATCAGTTTGCATCTATCTCAACTAACTCAACTAACTCAACTAACTCAACTAACTCATTAGGCAAAGGTGATTCATCATTTGCTGTGGAAGGAAAGCAAGGAGACCTCATAAAAGGTGATCAAACTTGAATAAAACTATTTAATTCAGATGTGAAAAAGACTTTCATTTAATGTAACCCAAATGGGGGATGGTGGGAATTAAATCTTTTTTCCTGTTGTCTTTTTGATCACTCCCATGAATTGGAATCTAAATATTCAATCTTCATGTTGGAAAAAGCAAAAAAAATAAACAAAATCAAACAAACCTTGCAGTAAGAAAAAAAAACCAACAAAAAAACAAACCCCCCCCAAAAACCCTACCAAAAAAACCCAACAAAGAAACAAGAAAGGAGAATCCAAACACCTTTTTTTTTTGGAATGCTGGGACGTACCCCAATGGCTCAGAAACTTATATAAGTTTTTTTTTTTTTTTGAAATGCTGGGATGTACCCCAATGGCTCAGAAACTTATATAAAAACTAACTTGCAAAAAAAATGCCTTCCCAAGCTCTTTTGAAGAGAATCAGCTGGGTAATTCCCAAATATTCCTCCTATTTGCACCTGCGTGTTCTTCCAGTCAACATCTGCATTTCCTTGTTACACACCTGGCGATGCAGCAGCTTCACTGCCCAAACCTGCTGCTGTACCTGCAGAAAGGATGCCAGGGAAGCCCCCAGGACTCCCCCGACAAGATCCTGCCTACATGATGCTGTTCCAGTGCTCCTTGTCTATTTCTTTCTTTCTTTTTTTGCCCCCAAAGCCAGTTGCAGCAAGTTTAAGAGGTTATTCTTAGTTTACAGTCTCTTGGCTTTCTGTGTTCAGCTAAGACGATTTGGGGATTACAGCCCTCAGCTTGCTGCTTAGTGCAGGCTCAGCTGGGACATTGGGGTTTTCCTCCCCACTTCCTTATAATTTCTGCTGTGAATAAGAGCAAAAATGTCCAGTAGATGTCTTTTTTTTGTTGCAAAGACTGAGGAATAGACATCTCCTGACATGGCTCTGCTGTGGCCGATGGCTTCTCTCAGGGCCAGCAGCCTGGCAACTGATTTTGCAGCAGATGTGGCTGCATTTGAAGGACTTTTCCGGACTAATTTTTAATGTCACTCAGTGTCTTGGTTGAGCCTTTGTCAATTACCACTTGACAGGACAGCAGAGGCAGCAGAACTCACTGCTCAGGGGGAGATGCCTTCACCCCAAGTAACAGCATCCATGGTCTTTCAGCACTCGTTTACCCTCCCCACACCCTCCCCAGGCTCAGCTGGGCTGTGCCCACCTCTCACCTTGCCAGTGGATGCGGTGCCGCGGAGGATGCAGAGGTAGACCACTAGCCAAGCCAGTGTCAGGCAGAGTGCCTGTTCCCACTGCACACTGCCACTTGTCTCCAGTGATGGAGAGATGTTCAGGGTCTGCCGGTACCAGAAGTACTGGGTGGACGACGTCTTCTCACACTCCTCCTCATAGCCAGTATGGTTGCTGTTGAGGGGGCAGGTGGCCCATGGCAAGGGGTCCTGGGAGGGAGAGGCACAGGGTGAGTGACAGCTGTCAGTATGGCCCTCTCCATTTCCCTCCCCCAGGGCCAAACCTCTTCCCTGCCATCAGACAGACCCATTCCAGGATGCAGGACACCCTGGCCACCAATGCATCACGGGGCCTTGACCTGCATTTCATGGTGAGAAGACACCACAATGCTCCTAGGGAGCCTGTGGAAGGGGATAGCACTGCCTCACTTTTCCCTCCAGAAAAGCTCTGCAAGGGTTTCTGGAGCTTTTGACACCTCTTCATCTCCTCTCCCCAGCTGACAATAGTGCTGTGCAACATCCAGCACCAACGCAAAGCCTCCACAACCCTCCATGGCCACAGCAGGGCCTAACTGTGCTGTTGGGTGCCCACGCACCTGGAAGCTGTGGAAGAGGTACCAGAAGGCCCAGGCATTGATCACGTTGTAGTACATGGAGAGGAAAAATGAGACAACAACACTGGCAACACCTGCAGATATAGAGGGAGGCACTTGGTCAGCAGCAAAATCCTAAAATGCTCAGGGTCCCGTAACACGTGGTGGGTATGGGGGTGGCACCACTGTGGCTGATGCAGGAGAGACTTTGCTGCTGCACAGCCATGTCCAAAAGGCACATCCCAGCCACTGAAGCAATCTCCTCCTCCTCATCCTGCCAGGATTGTCCTGCACTGGATTTTATACTTTAGCCCCTGGGGAGGGTGAATAGTCAATGTATCATTAAAAATAAAATGTATATGTATGTGAATTAATGACAGCTTGGGTTATCAGGGTGATTTAATGACATAATAATGTAGCTAAAAGTGGACATTGGTAAATGGTAGACAGCAATGGTAGGAAATTAAGGCACCACTTTATCACTCATGTTGAGCTAATTGAGAAGGTGCTTTTGGGGTCAAAGCCCAGTGCAGGCTGCTCCAGGGGCTGGGTTGAGCATTGGCCTTCACACCATGATTTTGGCAGCCTGCCTGAGAGCAGTTGGGCCTCACACCTCTGAGTTCTGGGACCCAACACAGCGAGCTGGGTCTGGTCCCAATGCTTTGGGAGAGACAGGATAAACACGTCATGAGATGTCTGGCTTTGCTCAACCTGGTGAGACCCAGTAAAACTCCAGCTCCCTAATGGTTTCTTCTCTGAAAGACAAAGCTCTCCATTCAAAAATCATCCATGTTCCCTGTGTGCTGGAAAATAAAGATGAAAACTGAAAACATACCAACACCACAGAGGTAGGGGCTTATTATTTTCCAGGCGCCGATGCTGCCCTGACGCATACGCTGCCCCACAGCCAGCTCCAAGTAGAGCAGTGGCATTCCCTCAGCAATCAGCATGATAAGGTATGGGATCAGAAAACCACCTGCAAGGAAAAAATAAATAACAGTCAGCCTTCAGCAGATCAGCAGTAAAATATACACCACATCGCCCTATTTGTGTTCAGATCACGCCGTCAGTGTCCCAGGAGCTGGGTCTGGGTCCTGTCCAGGCACCTCGTGTTCTGAGTCAGCCTTGAAGGACGTGTCACAGGGTTTCAGGTGGTGTCCCAGAGGCTGGTGGGTGGCAGACTACCTGGGCACAGGGAATTTTCCGCAGGGACTTGGCAAAGCTGAGATTTTTGCTGTTAAACTGTGTTGGTCGCCACTCCAGTGTGGCAGGGCTGCCCAGATGCTTCGCGGGCAGTTTGAGCAATGTTCGGGGCTGAAACTGTTAAAGGGTAACTAACCACCAGGCAAACCTTGTAAACGATAATGAGAGAAAGGGAACAAGGGAAAGATTTACTTTATGTGGGGTGTTCTGCGGCACAGCCAAAGTGCTCAGGGGAAAAGTAACAGCAACGTCCATGTCAAATTGAGAGTTCTGAGTTACATACTGAAGTCTGGCCTGGCTTAAAAAGACCCACAAAAAAAACAAGCCAAAAAGCTCCCAAACCCCCATGCTGAGCCCACAAGCGCCAGCAAAGGGATGAAAGTTTTTCCCACAGGATCCCACCTGCGGGAGCAGCCCCTGGGACAGAGGCACACGCTCTCCTCCTGCATGGGGCTGCTCAGTTCTGCTTCATCCCACATGGAGAGCCACAGGTATGCTTCTATGGAAGAGGAGCAGCAGGAAAGGGCAGGCTGACAGCAAGGGAGGGGAAAGGACCTTCTCACTTGGCATCCTGGATGTGTTTTGCCTTAAATTTCTGCCTGAAAAAAATAAAATCCTTGTACTCGACTTGGGGCTCACTTCAGAAAGAGCTGCTGAGTCAAAAGCTGGATTTTTGTGAAGGCTTCCCTGCTTCCCTTTTTACAGCAAGCCAAAATATTTACGTAAATATCTCTTATTTAGGATTTAATCTGTGGCATTAACATTCCTTGCAATGGGGTCTGTGCAGCACTGCGGAGGAATGAACTCCAGGCAGCGACTGAGGCAAAGAACTGGAAATAAACACTGAGCAATAATCCGGTTTATTCTGGGAATTAATTTCCCACCTCCCAGCCTTCTTGTTATTAACAACCCCTTTGTTACTCTGTTAGATAACTTCCTATGCTGCAAGGGAGCTGTCAGAGGTTTAAGAGCTCCCGCAGCTGCTCTGTGCCGGGAGTGAGAGCTGCCAGCACCAACCCAGAAGAGTTTTGCCATGTGCCACAGGGGGAAATCAGCATTAGGTCCTTTGAGAAGGCTCTTCAGCCCTCACAGCTGCTGTTGCCATATGCTTGGCATTGACTTCGCCACCTTGCAAGGAGGAGGAATGCCTTCAGGCTTGTTCTTCACCCCAATGTCCCCTCACAGCTGGGGGTGCCGGGGCTAAGCCCCCTGCCCCTTACTCTGTATCCTGTTTGCATGCAGATCTTGCTTCCAATACTACTCTTCCTAAGGGGTAGAACCAAAACGTCTCATGCAAGTGACTCAGGGGAGCTACATGAACCAGCTCTGTATCCGCTGTGAATCAGCACACCTCCACTGAACTTCCTGCTCATTTACACTGGGCGTTGCACCCTGTGATGCCAACTGTCTGCAAAAACCAGCCCCCGGACAGATCCCTACAGCCGGCAAAACGTGGAGTGTGCCCTGAGCCTGCTCAAGGCTTGGCCATTGGCACCCTTGCCTCTGCTCACCATCCTGCCTGGTGCTCAGGGCTGAGTGCCGCTGAGCCCTGCTGTAGGCAGTCTTCTTTCAGCCTGGCCCAGCCTGCTTGGGGTCAGAATAACTGCACCTACAAGGTTTGACCTCCTTGCTCTGCTCAGGGCGTGCTGTCTGGAGGAGAGCAAGGAGAAGGAGGCAATCTGCTTATGAGCAGAAAGACAGCTATAAACTCTGCAAATACTGCCTATGAGTATCACCTGTGATAAGGGCCCCATTGCTCTGCTGGGCAGGACAGGGACTGGCTCGATGCTTTTCTAAGGAAAAAAAACCAAACAAGCAGTTGCTGGCATTCCTCCCTAATCCCAGAGCCTAGCATATCCAGCTTTTAAATTCTTGAAACTGTGATCTGTATGTGTGGGTTTTGCAGAACCCTGGAAAGCTACAGAATCCTTTTTAAGAGGACAGTGGAAAAAAAAAAAGCAATTAAGCAAAGTAAAACCTCCTGTCAGGAATTTTAATTTCACAGTAGAAAGAGTTGCCTTTCCCCTGGAAAATTTAACCAGGAAAGAGAAAGATAATGAAGAACATAATGGAAAAATTTATAAAAACATGCTTTTCAGAAAATACTTGGGTGTATCATAGAATAGTTTGAGTTGGAAGGGACCTTTTAAAGGTCGTCTAGTCCAGCCCCCACTGCAATGAGCAGGGAAGTTTACTTAATCTCATTTCAAGCTAATCAAGTGTTCCAGTTTTGGTACATTTCAGACAATTTTCACCACCTACTACAATACAGACAGTTGGACAAAAGCACCACACAAAGCTCCCAAACTGTCTGAGTTTTGCTGTCCTGAAGGATGTCTGCCTAGACAGGCTGCTAGTGAACCAACCACGTGCAGTTTAATTGCGCACAGAAACACATTTTAATCTTTGTGCTAGAGATCAGTGTCAGACATGAAGCCTTTACCCTTAATGCCTGTGCGGAGGAGTACACACAGAATTACATCACATCTATAATTTCTGCTGTCTGAACTCTCTAAGACAGCTTCAGCCACTGCAGCATCTATCTTCTACTGTCACTTCACCGGCTGTATTATCTGGATTTTTCTGACCTGATCCCACAGGGCAGCTCTGATGCAGCCTCAGCACTGAGCTGGCTTTTCACTGAGCATGAACCAACTCCTACTGCCACATCTGCATTTACAAGTAAAGCTATAAGCCAAGGAAACATCCATAAAAGAAGCAAAAAGCACTTTAACTTCTCAGTGTTCCATTCTGAAAGGAATAAAATGCAGAAACAGACCAGAAGCAGATGCTACTCATGTCCCTTAATGCAAGACTGAGATGGGTCAAACACAATGACAACAGATGCAGTATGAGAAGCAGTTTAAAACTTGGATGTCTTATAAAGAGAGGCTCTTTCTAAGGATACTTCAAATCAGTGGTGGCTGTTAGGCAATTAATAGTGTTGGCCTTTAATTAATCTAATTAACTGGCTTTTGATTGTTAAGGAAGAACATCTGTGGCTGGTATACAACACAGACATCATCTTTCTTCAGTTTGGACCTAGGAGAAGGATAAACTTTCAAAAAAGGATTTTTTTGAGCCCAAATCAATTTATTCCCTGTTTTCAAAGATTCCTGGGAGGCTTTAGGTGTGGAATTCCTGTTGATTAAGGTGTTTCAGTCAACTTCAGGCAGATTTGCAGCTAAGCTATCATCATCTAAAGTAAGGCTTTGTATAAAAGACAACAAATTAATGACAGAAACTTACAATTATACAGCTGACCCTTAAATTATATCAGCCTAAGCATCTCCCCTTCTCTATATGTTCCAAGCCCCCATAGGTGAACCTACAAGGAACCGAATTAGTTTCTGATGCCTTCAAAGCTGTTCAATGGGGCAAAAAAGCAATAAATGAATACCATGTGGGCCTATATCTCTTAGTCTACCTCCATCTTTTCAGAAAACGTGGACTTTCCTGCTGTTCCATTGCACTTTAGGAAAAGTGTGCCACTCTGTTGGAGCAGCTGTCAGGTAAAAGCCTTCTGCTATAAATACATAAAATAAAGCTGCGATAAAACAGATTGCACACCAACAGAAAGCCTGACCTCCTGCTCTGCTCTGGACCCTGTTGTGTGGACAGGGCACTAGCATGAACAACATACTTTTGAACTTAAAGTTTTCCACACCACTTCTCAAGGGAAGCAAGAAACATAAACCACACTTACCTCCACCATACATCTGACATAAGTATGGAAACCTCCACACATTTCCCAGCCCCACGGCATAGGAAATGCAGGCGAAAACAAACTGCAGAGGATTGTCCCATAGCGGCCGAGATTTCTCCATTGCCTTCTTGCAGGCAGAGGTTCCAGCAGAGCCTTCCTGCCTTCACTCCCTCAGGTACTCTGCCAACCCTGCCTCAGACTCCACGCCAGCCTGGCTTGGAGGGGAGGGAAAGGCGGAGGAGCTATGCTTGCCAATTCCTATCAAGCTTTTTAATTACTAATCTTATTAACAGGCACATACTGAAGTAGGAATGCTGGTAAATAGATTATAGACACACACGGAACTATAAAATTGGTACTTTGGGTGAATAGCTGCTTGGGTTTTGACTGGCATTTCTGGGAAGGATGTGAGCCCAGGGATTTTTATCCACTCACATGCCGACTTGACACTGGGAGGAAATAACACTGGGGCTGCAGTTTGGTTTTGGAAATGGGCCACTCCTTCCCCACATGGCTGCCTTCCCTAGGAGTGGCATTCATGTGCATGAGGCACAAGCTTGAATTTTATAGCACAGAGAAGGGGTTCCCACACCATTAGGACTGGGTTTAGTGACTGTCAGAGCTGACTTTTAGGGCAAGGGATGCCAGGAATAAGCAGGTCCTCAGATATCCCATTCCTTGTGCCTTGGTGCTCGTCTCAACCAGCTCAGCACACTCCCCAGTTCCAAAAGTGGCCTTGAAACAGCCTCTATCAGCCACACAGGTCCCCAACCTGGTGCACACTTGAGTACAACACTCAAGTTTGCCCCTCCAATAATACTACTCTCCCTCTTCATACTCTGCATGTGTGTGACAGCCTGAAAGAGCCCAGTCTCTTTACACTTACCTTCATGCTCAAACCTCACTGCTGCAGATGAACTTTTCTGAGGGGTTGCTGTTTTAAAATACTTTCAAGCAGCATGGACCAAATATATACAAACGCCACTGGGAAGAGGTGTCTGTGGCCCATTGTGGAGGCAGAAGGATCTAGGAGGCCTTTGGGTCGTCTGAAGACACACAGAGATGCCAGGTCTGAACATGAACCCTGTGCACTTGGGTCCCTGCCAAGGTACACTTTGAGCTCAACCACTTCAGACAGGTGAAGGAGGCTGCCAGCAGTGTCTGTAGCAATAAAAGGGGGCTGCACAACTCCAAGGACTCAGCTTCCTTCCTCTGTTCAAATGTAGTTTTTTTCCAGGGTAACTTTCGGAACTATTTTGCAAATAAGACTCACTCAGCTGCTGTCATCCCACTCCTCCAGTGCCAGGAACTTGCTCCCTGCCAATGCTGTGTGTGCTGCTCCAGCATCCCATCAGGCACCGGCTGAGCCAAGGCATCCAGCTGTGGGTACGGGTGAAAACACCTACCATGGAGCCTTTGGACACAAGCCCAAGCTGCAGAGTGTGTCCATGCAGTGTTGTTGAGTACAGGAAACCACTCTGGTGGACTTGCTGACCAGCCACTTGTGGTAGCAAAGTCACAAAGTGGGACCCACTTTTCTGTGTGCTGGAGAAGACTGCAGGAGGTTTAGGCGTCTCTCAGCTTCATAGTGTGTTTCAGTGGTGCTAGAAATTAAGGTTGTCATTGGAAAACATCAGGGTTTGCCAAACTCTTCTGAAGTACAGTTTTGAGGGAGTTTGTGGTTCTTTTGCAATACCCTTGCAGTTCTTGTCTTGCCCACAGAACTGCAACATGCCAGCTAGCCCTGGAAATATGTCTCATGGATATAACCCTGAATTCTGCTGGAAGGAAAAATCCGACGTAATTTTAGATCCATAAGCTATTAAACTGAAAGACACACTGAGAAGCTACAGATATGTTAGTTGTCCCTCATCACAAAAACTTTTGCAAATTATTAGGAAGTTAAATGCCTGTCACTGCCTGTGGGATTTACTACAAATGATGCTTATAAATAGCTTACTAAATAATAGCTGATTAAATAGCTTATTAAATAATTCACAGACAGGACAGCCTTAAAAAAGGCACATCACCAGCAGTTGGGAAGCTTCTGTGTGAATAGATTACTGCTACTGATGAGCATCATCAAGTTAAAGATTTCCTTGGCTCTGTACCTCCTTCCCATTACATTTCAAACTAGTTTACTAATGGACTGGGGGAGATCATGCAGGCAAAGAGGTGTGGTGTCCTCATCTGGGGTCAGACCAGATCAGGAAGTTCAGAGGGAATGAGATGAATCTTTGCCTCTCTCACACAAATCAGTTGCAGCAGCAGCTCGGATCACAAACTACTATGAGGTTTTTAAGGTGGTCATGCACATAGGCACTCAGTAAAGCACCTGTCATCTAGTGGCTCCTCAAGAGATAGGCTTTAAATATTTTTAAAGGTATTTAAACAGACAACACTTAGGAATCCTTGCTGTGGGACTTCCCATACACACCTCAGATAATCAATATGCTATTTCTGATTCTTTTCAAGATTTTATCTCCTTTGAAATTCCTTCATTTGGTTTGGGGAACAGCTTGGACTTTAAGCACAAAGATGCACTCTAACATACACACACACGAACCTTTGATCATTTCACTGCTTATGTTAAAGGAAGTGTCCCAGTCCAATAAGACTCAGGAGTCCCATACACACCTCAGATAATCAATATGCTATTTCTGATTCTTTTCAAGATTTTATCTCCTTTGAAATTCCTTCATTTGGTTTGGGGAACAGCTTGGACTTTAAGCACAAAGATGCACTCTAACATACACACACACGAACCTTTGATCATTTCACTGCTTATGTTAAAGGAAGTGTCCCAGTCCAATAAGACTCAGGAGTGTTCGATTGGATTGACGGAGAGAAAAGGGGTGATAGGAAAATTAGAAAATTGGGGAAGCAAGCAAGATTTGGGATGGCGTAGCAGAGATGGTCACCACCACGGAATCCAGCAGTGTTCCAAGGATCAGTAGTCCAAGGATCAGCGCCGAGTGGCATTCCAAGGACCTGTGGTTGTCTTTTCTCTGGTGGTAGGTATCTGCCATGCTCTGGATGTTGGTCCTTTTTACAGGGCTTTGCCAGGTCAGTTTCCCTGGAGTTGAGCAATTCCCAGCCTCCTGATCTGGAAGCAATGTCAGCTGGAGGGGGTGGGTGGTAGTCGTTATCTAGGCAGCTAGATGGAATGTGGACAATGGCACCTCCTTATCTAGGCATCTGGAGACACCCTGTAACTCAACAAGCCTTGAGGCAAACAGTCCAGGGGTCGCTGTTTTCATTCTCCTACACCAAGTCATCAAAGCCAGGCAATGTCAAAACAAACATTTCTTAAAGGTCCCTTACAGGAGGATTGGAAATTATTTCTTCCCCCAGTACCTAACAGATGTGAGAATGTAGGGTTTGGGGGACTGGATGAGAAATGGTAGGGTTTCTTCTCCACAGCAGACCAGGGACTGATAGGACTGCCCATGAGAACTGCCCTATGTAAGCCTAATCGGAAGCTGGTAAACAAAGCAGAGAATCCCATTTCTCACTGAAGCAAAACTGCAAGTATTTAGGTGAAAGTACCAACTAAAAATCCTGGGCTTGTGTCTCCTTGATGCTAGTACAGTAAGAAGCCAAATGGCTCTCCCAGCTACCTAAAATGCAGAAAAAAAGGGAGTCTGGAGTCCTAGTAACAAGTTGGGACTGTGATTTGAGGGTGTGAGAGAAGCTTAACAGCTCTATTGGCAAGAGATGGAAACAAGGGAGGAAGGAATTCTACTGGGTAGCCTGGACCTGTAGCACTCTAACCCATAGATTTAAAAACAAACCCTCTGGGCTTTCCTTGATGAGCCAGACATGTGGGAGGGGGACAAAGTGTCAGCAGCTTTGGTGTTTAGTATCTTCCATTCCTGGAGGCACTCAATTCCCAATGCAAACATGGCATACTAGCATTTCAGATGATTATCAGAGGCAAGTGATTGAAGAGTCTCTACTGCCCCTGCAGTGTTTACTGATGCTGTCAAGGGAAGCAGATATACAGCCAAGTGACTAGCAGCTTCCACACAGAGGTTTTCACATTTGCTACTCTAAGCTCCATGTTTCCTTACTTTAGGAGAAAGAAAGAATCCACCGGGATTTCCAGATCTTTGACAACTCATAGGCCATGACAACTGTTATGTAATTGCTCTGTGTAATTGGAGATTAGTTACTCCTCTAAGCAGGTATTAGGATTGCAATTATTTCTTCCAGCTTATCTCTACTACTTGTTGCTTGGTTCCAAACTGTAGATGATGCCCTTAAGATCTGTACCCTGAAGTCATATCCAGTCTCTTTAAACACTCTTAAAACTGTTTTACATTACCTCAGCCTCCCAAGAAAAGCATTCACAGGCATGCTTTTTTATTTTCCTCTTTTTATTTTCCTTGCTTTTCTTTAGTACCACAATTATATCTGTCTCTGACTGCGTGATGGCACTTCCTCCATAAAGGTACACTCAATGCAGTTCTGATTCATAGAATTGCACCTAATTCACCCAGACTTCAGAACTGACCTGTGTAAAACGAGAGTCACAAACTGGCACCTCACCAAAATAAAATAGATAGCTGGCCTCTTCAGACAGTTCTGCTTGTCTCTTGAAACAGAATGACATGTACCTACCCACCTTTACCTGAAGAAGAGTCAACTCCAAAGAGGCTGCCTAATGTTTCAGGATATGTTGGAGAGGAGACTGATGAGGAGGGCACATCTAGATGCCTTCTGGGAGAGTCTGCAGGCAGCCAGAGCAGGACAGAAACCCTGGTCCAATGCTATCATGGGAACGTTGTCAAAATTCGCAGTAATAGGGACCATTCTCTGCTCCAAGTCAGTTAGAATAATAATTTTGATAACAATTCCTACCTGCTCACATACAAATTTACCTTCAAATTACATTAAATTGTTTTTAATAAATTTTAGAAGGCACATCCTCCTAGAACAGATCAAACTTTTTAAGCTTGGTCCATTCAGCCACCTGACTCTGCAAGATGACTCATATTTGTTCCCTGAGGCTGTATGAGTCATTTCACCGTGGTCAGAGGCATTTGGTGTTACACAGAAGCCAAGAGTTGTCCTTGATAATGCCAGAAAAGGGAAATCTAAGTAAGGAATCTTATGAACATTTTGGATGGATTGAAATCTAAGTGCCTGGCAGATGACTGTGGGTTTCCCAAAAGCAAGGTATGTGGGAAATGCCCAAATTGCATCTGTCTTAACATTGGTCTATCAAATAAAAAGGGGCACTTGCAGATTAAATGTCGATATATATTAGTATTCATCCTAGGACATTTAAAAAATGTCTATTACCTACAAAAGAACAGATTAATGAGCACTTTATGAACAGTTAAAGATCCTTGGGTAATACACAGTCTCATTAAGACAGCAGCATGCAGCAATGCTGGTTCATTTATTAACGACCAACTGCAGAACTGAAGTCACTGTTAGAGCACAGGGTTGTTTGTTGGCTCTCACAGAAACTACTAGTGAAGCTGAGCTGCCTCAGTTTCATTCTTCAGCCTGCAAGCACAAAAGAATCCAAACCAACCAAAACCACACCTAGCTTGAAAGACACTTGATTCCTGCAGGCCAGTCAGTTATAAACTTTCTTTTTTAAACATTCCCTTCAGGCATAAGTAGGGAATTAACAACGGAAGTGGAAGGAATGGATGATGTCTATTTGAGCAGTACAAGGAACAAAGGCTGGTAAAAGCAGTATTAGAATTTAAACCTCAGGGAAAGAAGTCAAGTTATAGAAACATCAGACACTGTCAGGAGAGGTTCAGATGTCATCTCTATCTTCAGAATACTGTACCTATCTCAACAAAAAGAGAATTGCTACTGTATAATGCACAGGTCTTCTTTGACATCTGCCAAAGATAATGTATTTTTCACCCAGAGCTCCACAGAAGACCTTTACTCAGCCATTCTGCAACACTAAACAGTGTGGGCATCACAGTGATCTTGTACTCACTAAACTGGCGATCTGCAAAACACAAAAATCAGTTTTTTAGTTTTGCACTACAGTTCTCTACAAGATTTGCCTTGCTCACTTAAGCAGATTACAAGGTCTGTAACAATTCTTATCTACAGCCAACTTATTTCATTGAGACATACTCATACACTGAAGTTGACAGTGCACTTTCTTATTGAGACAGTTTCTAAGCAGACAATGAAGGATTATCACAGTCAATATTCTAGCTAAATGAACAGCAATGATTTATCAGAAGACTAGCAGAAGTCATGAGAATCTGTCATTCTTCACCATTTACCTGCCATTTTAGAAAAATAGAATGTTAAGGGGTTAAAATGGATCTTAAAGAGCATCTAGTCCTAACGCCCTGCCATCAGCAGGGATGCCTCCCAATAGACCAGGTTGCTCAAGCCTTTATGCAACCTGGCTTTGAACACTGCCAGGATTGGAGCATCCACAACCTCCCTGGGAAACCTGTTCCAGTGTTTCACCACTCTCACAGTAAAAAATTTCTTCATATCTAATCTAATTTTCCCATCTTTCAATTTAAACCCCCATTACTACTTGTCCTATCACTACAATTCCTGACAAAGAGTCCCTCTCTGACTTCCCTGTAGGCCCCTTCAGATACTGGAAGGATGCTAAGAGGCCCAATGCAACCTTCCCTTCTCCAGGCTGAACAGCCCCAACTCTCTCAGCCTGTCTTCGTAAGAGAGATGCTCCAGTCCTCTCATCAACGTTGTGTCCATTCTCTGCACTTGCTCCAACAGTTCCATGTCCTCAGCCTGCTGCCACACTCCTTTTCATGTAGCCCAGGATGTGGTTGGCTTTCTGGGCTGTGGGTGCACACTGCTGGCTGATAAGGAGTTTTTCATCAACCATCACCCCCAAGTCCTTGTCTGCAGGGCTGGTCTCAATCACTTCTCTGTCTAGCCTATAGGTGTGTCTGGAATTGCTGTGATCCAGGTGTAGGACTTTGCTTTGGCTTTGTTGGTCTTTGTGAGGTTTGCATTGGCTCACCTCTCAAGCCTCTCAAGGTCCCTCTGGATGGCATCCCTTCCCTCCAGTGTGCCAACTGGTGTTGTCAGTGAACTTGCTGAGGGTGCACCTAATTCCACTGTCCATGTTGCTGACAAAGATGTCAAACAGTATTGGCTCCAGCACCGATCCCCAAGGGACACCACTTGTCATTGGTCTCCACAGGGACAATGAGCCACTGACCACAACTCTCCGTGTGCAAACATCCAGCCAGTTCGCCAGTTCTTTATCCACTGAGTGGCTCATCCATCACATCCATGTCCCTCCATTTAGAGACAAGGATGTCATGTGAGACATTGTCAAATGCTTTGCATAAGTCCATCTAGACGATGTCAGTTGCTCTGCCCCTATCCACCAATGCTATGGACCATTATAGAAGGTCACCAAATTTGTCAGGCACGATTTGCCCCTGGTAAAGCCATATTGGCTGTTACAAATCACCTCTTTGTTTTTCATCTGCCTTAGCACAGATTCCTGGAGAATCTGCTCCATGATCTTGCCTGGCCTGGAGGTGAGACTGACCGGTCTGTAGTTCCCGGGTCTTCAGCTTTTCCCTTTTTAAAAGTGCGAGTTATAATTCCCTTTTTGCAGTCCTCAGGGACTTCACCTGACTTCCACAATTTTTCAAAAGTGGCAGATAGTGACTTGGCAACTACATCCACCTGCTCCCTCATGACCCATCCATGAATCTCATCAGGTCTCATGGACTTACACACATTCAGGTTCCTTAGACAGTCATGAACCTGATCCTCTCCTACCATGGGCTCAGGGTCTTCATTCTCTCAGTCCCTGCATTTGCCTTTCTTGCCCTGGGCAGCATGGCTAGAGCATAGTAGAAATATAGCAGTAGATAGAGAAATAGCAACTGACCTCATTGCAATTAGTGTTATTACAAAGAAAAAACTCCACAATATTCACCCAGACACAGGCCAGAAAGCTCTTTGGTACACCCCTATTAAGAACTTAATATTTTAGTGACTGTACAAAGGACTGTACTGTCACTGCATGAGGAGTGTCACCCCATAATGCCGCGCTATTGTGCTACAGCAATATTATGCTACAGACACAGGACTTCATCCCAAACCAATCTTGCCTAATCAATGGGCAGAAAAGGACAGGACAACTTAGAGAAAACAGGAGAACTTAGACTGCAAGCGTATGGCAGATTTGACTGGGGCATCATTGCTTGAATATTTTTAATGGCTTTGCTTGTTTGAGAAAAAAATGAGGAAAAATGATCTATTTCAGTTCAAGCAGCTCCTGAGAAAAACACTGCTAAATGCTAGTTTCTGTTACACAACCACCCCAGCTTTTTGCGAGCCCTGCCACTAGTACTTTTTTTACAGCTATTAGATGTGGTGTGGCTTTAAAGACAAAGACACTAAAGACAAAACAGGAGCAGAATGTGGGTCCAGAAGAAGGATCCTGTTTGGACAGACAGGACAACATCTACATCTATCCACTCTCATTCTAGCAACATTCTTTACTGATCTGACACTCATTTCTACATGTATTAAAAAAAACAGCTGTAGAAAACATCCCTATAAAAAAACCCAGCTCCTTAAAGATTAAATGTTTGAAAAGACAATAGTTTTATTTGCAGTAAAATACAACACACATAAACAGGGACAGATGAACAAGAAGAATGCACTATTAAGAGGATGACAAATAAATGCAAGGCAGAGAATTACAAGTGAAAGACTGGAGAGAAGTATGCTCTTTTCTGGCAAGGTTACGTTCAGAAAGGAGATGAAAACACCTAAAATAACTTTATTTCCCAAAAACGTTGCTCCGTTAACTTTCCTATGTGTTTCCAGATTATCATCTCAATGTTAAGAATACTGGCAAAATCAGAATGTGTCTTCTGATGTTCAGATTTGTTTGAAATCAATTCAAGTGAAAAGCTGTAACTTCAATTAGTGACTTGGTTTGAAAGCATCCAGTGCTTCGGCTACAAAGCACATTGACCTCACTACACGAGGAACACTCTCTAGAAAAATGCTCCTGACCACATTTGCTCAGGTATGACATACACAGTGTGAATGAACATTTTGTGTCTCCTTTTTTTTTCTCCCCTCCTACTTTTTACTTCCACTGATGGAATTTTCACATATAATGTCACTTCATGACTACATTAACTACACAAAAGTAACAACTGGAGTTTCCACCTCAGAGACATCACAAACCCTAATGCATTTTTTTGTCTTTTTTTTCTCTTTTCTTAACAAAAATAAACTCCTTTCTTCATAGGGAATGTTCTAACTTCTTCAATAAGCTCCTGTTTGCTATTTCTCATGGAATGTTGATGGCTAACAGTTAAAAACATAACTGCAGAAACTAATTCCTCTAAATTGTAGGTTTACAAGGAAGTAAGGGAGGAGTTTCAGTTTGCTATTAGTATTAATAAAGAGTTATTTTAAACACTAGAAGAAAAAATACACCATTCAAAACAAAAAATATTGAAATATAGTATCAGTCTACATTTCCTTTCCAGGGCAGCTTCCAACAGACCAGATGTTTTTGGGTATTTTAGTCCTCTGACTCATATCTGAGGATCAAAAAAAGAATAAATAGAAAAATCATTAAAACAGAGTAGAAAATACCCCACAGGCATTTTATCTCTAAAGAAAATATGAACCCCAAGTAATAAATTACACCCAACAGTGACAGATTTCTATCAAGGTTCACTGTATGACTTAGAGCATAGACAAATCCATACACCTTTTAGACTACTTTCTCCTTTTAAAACTGGCCAGTTTACCAAACAGTCAAATGAAGGAATGACCTACCCACAAATCCAAACAATAGTCAAAGCATCTGGTACATCTCCCAACTGTATCTCACGCGTAGCACCTGAGGGCTTATCTACCACACCCAGGAATATCCTAGATCCTCTCCATACTGAGTTCTCTCATTATATGCTACCTGGTAGCTGCCGTTGTACACGTTGGTCCTGTTCACCTAACATCCATTAAAAGGACTGGCTTGTCAACAATCAGGGAATAGCCTACTAGAAGTGCTTTTTAAGGGAAAACTTATAGATTATTTTAGAGACAGATTCACATTCCTAAAGACAAAACAGGAGCAGAATGTGGATCCAGAAGACGGATCCTGTTTGGACAGACAGGACAACAATACTTACTTGGAAAGCCTTCTACGCAGATCCTTTATTTGGTCATTCTTCTTAGTGAGAATCTCCTTCATGTTGCGATAGGCAGCTGTCTGCTGGAATTTCTTCTCCAGTTCCTACAGAATAACATCATCTACATGTTTTTTACTTATTATGAAGACCTAATTAAAATATTTTTTTTAAAAAAAAAAAACTAGTTGCTTTTCCTCCTCAAGTTTCAGAATAGTAGTTCCTTAAAAATCAAACTCAGTACAATTTAGACACAGTCAAATGGGAGATTCAAATGAGATTACTAGGACAAACAGAAACAGAAACTTTATTTTCTAATGGTATCAGGCTAAAAGTCTTCTGAAGACCAGGAATATGTTTTTCATTAAAAAATTTCTATGCAGACAACTGGGCAAGTTTTAAGTACTCAACTAGTTATAATCATGCAGTTAGTTGTGGTTTTGCTATTTTAGCTATAATGTGCTTTTCCACTGAAATAACAAAAATACACAGGCCTAGTAAACTCTGTGTCCTGTACTGTATACTTGTTAAATTACTAACCAGTTGAATTGTAAGGATCTCATCTTTCCATCACAGTAAAATGCTAACCTTTTCAGCTGCGGAGAGCTGATCCTGAACCCTAAGCAAGTTGTGTTTTGTTGTCACCAAGTCCTCTTCCAAGAATTTTTGGTTTGCAGTTGTGTCGTTCAAAGTCTTCTCAAACTGGCTTTTCAAAGCTGCCACTTTATTCTCCAGTTCAGTGATATCCTGGTTTGCATTCATCTTCAATGGAAGAAGCATTCAAAATATGTCAAATACAAGAGAAGAAACATTTAAAATTCCAAGTGCAAAATTCCACAAAAACCAGGTACATCTTAATTTTTAATATTTATGTTCATGTTATTCCTGTAGAGCGTAAATGTAAAGTGCTTTAAAAAAAGTTCAAGCACTGACTGATTTACAACTTTAAAATTTTTTTAATAAATGCATATTAAAGGTGGCTGGGATGTCTTCTCTGCCAAGGTGAGATTTCAAGTTCCTGTACTTCACTTCTCTAGGTGGAGCCACAGAATGCAGCATACCATGAGCAGTTACTCACCATACAGAAATAGTAAATCACAGTTGAAGATCTGGATGTCTATGCTATAATGCATTTTTGAAGCAGGTAAAATATCCCAGGCATTTCAAATGCCATTAATGTAGTACAGGTAGGGAAGGCTGAAAGTGATAAGGCTCATGCTATTAGTCAGGTACCAATATATTGCACTCTGCTCAGATGTCTCAAACAAAGAGGCTCCACAGTGTCTTGTGAAGCAACTTTCCTGTTTCCTTGTGAGAAGAAACCACTCAAACTATTCTGGACATCAGTTCTGGGTCACAAAACATTATAATCATGTAACTCTCCTATGGATTTTCATTTAAAAAACCCAAAACAAACACAAAACCCTCTCTGGTTTAAAAGCTCAACTTCAAACTCAAAAGTATAGTAACTCAGGATGAGGCTGAACCAGCAGCACCTTAAAAAGAACAAAAATCTAAAACTAAGGAAGCTAAGGTAAGAATTTAGCATAGGAAACTACTTGATAACGGCACCTGGACAGAAGAAAAGCTTATTTGAATTTTGAGACAGACTCCAAGTCTGCAATGCTGAAAAGCTGCTAAATTTTGTATGTTTCAGATCAGAATAGACAGCTATCATTTTTCTAAAATGTGACCAAAGTCAATTACGCAAAAAATTTTATATCCTCAAGTTAAACTGATCCAACAGAGCAGTTACTCCCTAACTGTGGCTCACACTTTGCATGTGGAACCATCTATTAGCTATTAACAAAGAACATCAATCTGCTGAGTGGCTCCTTATGAACTATCATGGTTTGGCAGTCACTTATTTGTCCAGAGTTTGAGAACTACTGCTTTATGAGCAACTAGGTTTATATGATTTTACTGACACCCCTCCTATAAAAATATGAAGTGAAACCACATAAAATTGAGCATTTTCTTCAAACAACTAATACTGCAATTGATTAAATCAAGTGGTACATTTCAGCACTGTACCTAGAGCTAGTTTCAACAACATATGTATGCCTGGAAACAGAAAATGTAAGAGCTGGAGAAGAAAGTGACAGATTATAGAGAGCAAACTAGGACATGAAAGCTGAAGATACTCAGCAGCTCTGACACTGAGGCCAATTCATGTTTGACCAGAAAAGCAGGATGAGATTTGGTTCCAATCTTTTAAAACTACAAACAGTATTATCCAGGATTTAATACACCCCTTAAATATGTTAAATCTTTCATAATTTAAGGCTTAACAAAACAAAGAAAATATTTGCCATGACTGATAAATCAAGTTCCCTAATAAAGAATAATATTGAACACAGATTTTGAAAGTTACCCTGTAAGATTAGAACATATTAAAAAAGACAAGTACATACCATAAACCAGTTAGAAAGCAAAATAAAAAGAAATCAAGATTAAAATATGAAAATTAAAACAGAAATGCTTTATGATATTGAACCTCACTTCCAAATCTGTAAATACTGCAGGAATTTTAAAGTCAGTTTCTCAAAACAATGGGATTAAAGAGCTCTAATGTTGTTTAACATTTGAACTGAAATATTTTAAACTTAAGAAACAGTAATGCAGGAACAACTTTTAAAAAATTCTAATTATTGACAAAATAAAGGTACAAACTTAAAAAAAATACTAAGGTGACCTGAACAAATTCATCTGTGTCAATATGACTTGAAGCTTCTTAAATAATTTCTTTTTCTTTGCAACAGCAACTCACCCTGTTTGAATCCTCCTTTATAAAAAAAGATTAAGAAAATCAAATAGTAAAAATAAATGGTGAACCATTTTTAACAGTACACTGTTATGGGCAGAACTACAAAAAAATCAAATAAGCAGCAAGTCTGTCTTGACCATATCAACACCAAGTGTGACAAATGCTTGAAAGAATTCAGTGTTTTATTGTTGCTATAAAAGCAGGTTAGATCTCATTCTTTCATTAGTAACCATGAACAAATTAATAGACACAATACTACTTCCTGACAGTACCTGGAGCAACACTTTCTGACAATAATTTATCATGGTCCATGTGACACAAAATACATGTCGTAACGTCAACTAATGTTATGGATTATCTGCTGACTGACAGACCAGCAGGAACAGACAACGTCAGCAGGAATAATTTGAACTTTTGCATTTGCCAGAAAACAAACATACCATACTCGCCAACATTTTAGATGTACAGGTAACAGTTGTGTTAAACTGGGGAGGACAGACCTTAATTATATTTACCTTCTGATCTCCTTGGATCATCTGTAAATCCCTCAGCGACTTCTCCAGCTTAGACTTCTCATCTAGTGCAGCTGTAGCCTGCAATACATTGAAAATCTTTTGCATTTGCCAGAAAACAAACATACCATACTCGCCAACATTTTAGATGTACAGGTAACAGTTGTGTTAAACTGGGGAGGACAGACCTTAATTATATTTACCTTCTGATCTCCTTGGATCATCTGTAAATCCCTCAGCGACTTCTCCAGCTTAGACTTCTCATCTAGTGCAGCTGTAGCCTGCAATACATTGAAAATTTAAAAACGTCAGAAACATGTAAATTGAAAACATAAGGAGAATAACTTTGGGATTCTTATTTAAATAATTATAAATACGTAAGCAGCCTTCAGTATCAAAGCTTACAGGGAATTTACCTGTGTTTCTATGGTCTTGAGTCTGGTCTTCAGTTTTTCATTTTCTTCTTGGAGATGAGCAACTCTCTGTAGGTTAATGAACAAGAAAATGTTTGTGAACACTCCTGTGCTATTTTGAATTTTCCAAGTATTTCAGGGAAGAAAATACCCTTCATAGCTTGGGAAAGCAAACAAGATCCTAAATGCTTGTAAAAACAGCCTCTATAAGGAATCAGTAATCCATTTATTTACTGTGTTTTCTGCCTCCATCAGGAGGCAATTTAAGCCTCCAATTCTACTGCAGCATATAGGACTGTTCACTTAAATCTGGCACATGCTTTACTGAGTTGAGATTATTGAGCTTATTTGTGATTAAGAAAATTGCATGTTCAGAGATGCAAATCCCATTGCTGCTCATCATTTGCATTTTCAATCAACAGGCAAGCAAGAATTTATTCATAGTTCCTGTTCATAAGAGACAAACACCAGATTACTGCATACCATGTCCTGTGCCACAGGAAATAACCACACTTTATCAGAGTAAATTTGCCATATGAACTTTGAATTACTTTGGGGTGTGTGTGGGAAACATCAGATCTACATATTCAACAAGAACTGTTATGAAACAGATTTTGAAACTATTTTTGAAAGAGAGCTACATGGATCTATCAGTAAAGTACAGGTCTGAATTCTTTAATGCTTTAATTATCATAGCCAGTAACAAGAATTTGATTCAGACACTACTCCACACATCATTCTGGCACAGCTGGCACAAAGACAGAGAACACAACTCCTCACTAATTATCTTGGCTGCCCATAACTTAAAAGTGTATTGCAAGAAGTGTGGCACTTTAGAAAAGTTCAGCTGAACTGAATGGGTTCTAGACCTAATAAAAATTATTGATAACATTAAATACTGGAAAGTGTTTCATAATTCTGAAAATGTTTAGCAAGTGAGAGATCATTTTCAAATCCAGTGAATTCCAAATTCTTTAAGTGCATGTTTCTTCAGGAGGAATTTAATGAACTTACAAAAGAAAGAAGACTTCAAGTGACACAGAAAATATTCAATCACCTGATAATTTCAGCCAGTTACATGTTTTAATTTAGTTCCTTGTTGGAAAGCCAGCCAGCTGCACAGAACAAATTGAATACTGGTTTCTACTAATTAACTCCATTAAATGGGAAAATAAGTTATTACAAAGGCCAAAATGTCTCTGCAAAAGAAGGGCCAGTATTGTAATACGTGTTAGAGACCACAATACATTTAGAATGCTTTACAACATTTATTAATTCACGAGCATTTCACTTTACCTTCTGGGGTATATTACTGTGATGTCTACACAGTGACAGATATATTGTACTAGTATTACTGTGTAGCTATTCAGTTCAGTTGCATAAGCAGAATGGACATGGATCGTAACTGCATGAACAGACAAGTTCTTACCTTGTTTAGCAGCTCTGACCCACCTTCATTTAATGGAGCCAGCTTTGGTTTAACAGGATCTGCACTGGGCTACAGAAACAATAAAGGTGAAAAAACTAAATTATACAGATTTTTAGGAGGAAGAAAAGCACTCCTTTAGTCTGTAAAATACTACTGACACTTAATTCAGCTTTCTTTTGTAAAGCAAATTAATGACCTTTCATTTGAAGTTCATTTTTACTGGTTCTTTTGTTCCTAAGTTATATACTTCACTTTAAGCTAAACAAAAATACTGCATAGAGATCTGAAAGTATTGCATACTAGATTTTACAAACGACTAAATGCTGCAGCAACCAAAAGACAAAGGAAAACAGAAAAAATATTTGAGTGACTGTAAGAGTAAAAAAAATTTACAAAGCTCCAAATAATTTTCTTATTTTAAGGATGAAAAATAACATATATTAACTAAATATACCTTCACACTACAAACCAAATACAGTGCAACCATAATCATGCAAGATAAGCTAGAGTGAATCTGAATTGTGCAATCTTCTCAGATCTTAACTCCATGGTGAGACAAGCAAATGTCCCAGTCTTACCCCAGTTATCAGGGAAGGGAACCCAGAAGCAGATGCTTCAACACATCCCTGGTCTGGCTGACCTTGGGATGAGGTGCATGAGGCATGACCTGGGTGTGCAGAGCCTGCACTCTGGAAACAGGCAAGTCAGATCAGAGAGCCTTGGTGTCCAACTGTAAAACTTGACTTTTTGGAGACATTCAAAGACTTTGTTTAGACACTAAGGGTGGGGTTTGGGTTTGTTTTAAGCACAAAGAGCCAATACTAAGCATTTTAAACATCTGCCATGACTCCACATGACATTCAATTATGCTTTGATGAAGATAGAACTCTACCTTTTTGTTCGAAGATGTAAATTCTGACTTTTCAAACTCAGCAACTTGATCCAACAACTCTCTTGAAAATAAAAATAAAGAGGTATTTATTTACTAAAGAAAAATAAAGGGAGACATTCATTTACTAAGAGCTATGCCATGAAACACATTTTACCAGGCTGGTGCTATGCTTTGTATTGAAAGTAAGATTCTTGTTGAAGTACAGAATCAAGTCCTATGCAAAACCATAAATGCAGCAGATCATGTCATGCAATCATATGGTATATACCTTAGAACTGTATGATTTAGCATCCTTAATTAAAATATTATCTACCCAGACAACACCAGCTTTTTAATCAAATCCAATCACCTGCTCTTAGCAGGTTAATTCAAGTAAGATTATTACCAATAAAAACATCTTGATGACAAGTTTGAAATTGTTTTGTAACTTGCCATTTTATAAATGGAAGCCTTGAAATTAACTTCTTATTGATGTAATAGTAAAAAAACAAGTTTCTATGCTTAGGAAAAGAATGCAAATAGTCAACACTTGAAAGGCACTTGGAATAGTCCAGCAGATGTTACCGATTCTCCAAGTCAGAGACGTCTGTCTGTAACTTTAGGTACCATTTCTCAGCCTGTGAAAAGAGCTGCCGCAGAAGTAAAACGTTGGTGTAAGTTGTGTTTATGAGCTCTGACTCCACTTCGCTGTGTATAACACTCTGCAGTCCATCCAGCATGTCTATCACCTCATCGACTGTGAAGGTCTCTTCAACAAGTCTAAAAAGAGCAGCCAAAATGAGTCAAGTGTGATATAAGTAACAATTTTGCATTGTTGTGAGATCTCACAACAGAGGTATCACTCATACAATCATCACCCTTCTGAAAACATCCACTGACAGTAGTTATCAGACCACCATGGCACTACTACTTGGTTACTGTATCTGAAGTTTCTCTTTAAATCATTACATTCACAAGTATTAATTCAGCTGCAGCCTTGCATCAAATTTAGACATCAGAAGAAGGATATAAAGCAATGTCATGCTGTCGACATCTATGTTACTTCCTAAGAATTTGAAGAACTTAGTTTCAAAACCACCAGACTTGTAACTTCTGGAAAATTATTGGTTCTTCCCAGTAAGAACATACAAATCTAAGTGGAGAAAAGTCGCTCAAGAAAGTATTCAAACTTGCCATGGCTGCCAGCATATTTTGCTTTATTCTTGCTGGGAACCACTCCCCACAGTACCTGCTGTCCTTAAGGTCCTGAAAACAAGAATCCACTGTTTTGAGACACAGGCCACGCTTGAAACGAGCGAAGCGCATGTAGTTGATCGCTTCATTCTGGTGGTGCTCGTTCAGGCCCAGCTCTGCCTGCAGGTAAGGATATAAGCACAAAGACAAATACACACTAAGTAAAAAAGAGCACAAGCATTGTGAATACTTGCCTTCTGATTAGTTTCTGTGCTTGCTTTCACAGGGTTATTATGATAACTAGTACGTTAGAAAACCACCAATATTTTCGTATGGGTAATCCTTACATAACTCATATAAGTGCTCCCCCTTTCAAAAGCACCAGTACTTGCAAGTAAGGCCTCAAGCGAACAGCGGCCTCAAAAAAAGTCACACAAAATCAGAGACAGAGGCAATCAGAAGAACCAGAAGCACTGTAGGAGACAGTAAGTTCTTGGATAAATCTATCTTTGTGTTAAATGTACATACGTCTAACGTAGCTGAACAATGTATCTTTCATAGATGAACTAACAAAAAAAGCACAGGGAAGTAAGTTACATTTCTTTATCAGTTTATTTGTAAAATCTTGAGACTTCTCATATAATCATAGAACGTTTGGGTTGGAAGGGACCTTAAAGATCATCTAGCCCCAACCTTCTGCCATGGGCAGGGATACCTCCCACTAGACCAGGTTGCTCAGAGCTCCATCCAGCCTGGCCTGGAACACTGCCAGGGATAAGGCATACACAGCTTCCCCGGGCAACCTGTGACAGTGCCTCACTACCCTCACAGTAAAGGATTTCTTCCCAATATCTAATCTAAAATTCCCTTCACTCAGTTTGAACCCATTACTCCTTGTTCCACCCTTACAGTTCCTGATGAAGGGTCCCTCTCCACCTCCCCTGTAGCCCTTTCAGATACTAGAAGGTTGCTATGAGGTTTCCATGCAACCTTCTCTTCTCCAAGCTGAACAGCCCCAACCTCCTCAGCCTGCCTTCACAGTGGAGATACTCCAGTCCTCTTACCAATGTTGTGGCCTCCTCTGGACTCATTCCAACAGTTCCACGTCCTTCTTATGTTGGGACCCCAGAGATGGATGCAGTACTCTAGGTGGGGTCTCATGAGAGCAGAGTAGGAGAGAATCACCTCTTTTGACCTGCTGGCCACATTCCTTTCGATGCAGAATGAGATCTTAATTTTAATCTGAATTTGTTTCTCAACAGCCTATTGCCCAGGAACAAATATTCCCAAGGCACATTAATAAAGAACTGATTTTAGATCTGGCTAACTAGCCCTTCTGTGCATGCTTCTGTTTCAAAAGAACTGCTGGCATGGCCAACCACATTAGAATAACTCGAGCAGGCTGCACAAGTCACAAGGAGGCACAGCGGGGCACAAATGGAAGTTTATCACCACAGTCCCTGGAGAGCTGATGCAACCAAAGGTGAGTCCACTTCACTTGCTTTGATGCACTTAGCATGGCTGGTGTTGGGCAGGGACAGCAATGCAGCCACTCAGACAAAACAGCTAACCTGATCACCCTGTCCTTATTAATCCACCTGTGCAGGGAAGCTCCAGTGACAATGCAATACTGGGCTACCTGGATGAACAGCCATCTGAGGACAGATCCCAACTGTCTGGAAATTAAAGGCAGCAACAACATTAGTAAATAAAACCAAACCTGAGCTGAGCACGTGCCTATGTGTTCCCACAGGTATATTTGGATCGTTTAGTCCATCCTACACTGTTACTAGTGGGCTGTAAAAATCTCACCCTTCGCAAACACACCAAGACTATCCTAACTTTACAGGTGTAATTGTCACCAGAGTCTGTCACCTGGGTCAGCTAAAGGCAACAACAACAGCAGTAAGCAAAACCAAACCAGTTCTCACCATGTGGCTGCAAGCACGACGTACCCCACAAAGCGCACACCCTGCAACTGAGAGATCACATGAATAGCTACGGTGATATTCTTTCTGCTGTTATTTTCTTAGGCATAAACCTTCTACTTGTTACAGATGTAAAGGAGATTAATGTAGTAAATAAGCACATAAGCACAAGCCAAAGCCACTCC